TTACGTGACCTCGATGTCGTAACATTAACTTTAAAATTACCGACTTGTTTTTATATTGCTCATTAACTGTGGGGACATGTATTTTAAAATATTGAATAATTTTATGTTTTTGCTTGTTACAACAGTCAGTATAAAAAGCTGACCAAAAACATTTGGTGCAATTTCGTATTTTCTGTGTAAGATACATAGAAGACCCAAACAGTAATTAATATAATCAGTTTAATTGTTTTTCTGTGTGATTTATGTGTTGTTTGAATATTGTAACTAATAATGGCAGCTTATATAAATAGCGTTACAACTAATTCTGCTTTTTTTGTATCCCGGCCGGGCTGATAAGCTCTGGATTGAGCGAAACGTGTCGTCGGCAATAGATACGGCGAACGTACTGCAATTGAATAAAGAATGCAATGTTAAAAATTATAATCGGCCTAACATTAATGTCTGATTACCAGTATAATTAATTATAAACTTGCTTCGCCAGCCTGATAAAGGCGTTCACACCATAAATAAGTCAGAATTAATTTCATAGATAAACAGTTCAGAAAGATTTGTAAAAAATCAATGTAATTCTGGTGTTAAACATCGCCGAAAAGTTTATTTCTTCTTTATTACCTAAAGTACGCTGCAAAAACAAACAAAAAATAAATTATCTAGTTATATCTATCTGTAAGCTCAGCAAAAATATATGACTGAAAGCATAATCTGCATGAAGGCCTAGTTTAAATTTAAAGACTTAATAACACAACGTGTAAGCCTTTATGCGTTGCTAAGACCAGTCCATTCTCTGACAAGAAGCATGTGAAACCTACCAACAGGTATGTTTTTCCACATGCATACAAACATCACTTATCATATAGGAATTAAGACACATTAAATATAGCCAGTCCTGACGCACCTTCTTTCAGCACTGGTAAACTCCCAACACTTTTTAACAAAGAATAAACAATAACTAATTGTAATTGAGAGCTTATTAACAGAGTCAGTTTCGACTCCTTGGCTGTGCTTGAACGGCATCTAACATGATTCGTGAGACCCAGAAAATACATACTTTTTCTTTTTATTCTTTTAGAGTGTCTTTATTACGTTTATGACTGTATTTTATTGACTGTATCGATATTAAGTTTATGACTGGATTTTACCGAATGTGTTAATATTAAGTTTACGACTGTATTTTACCGAGTACGTCGATATATTAAGATTATGACCATAGTTCATGAGATCTGATAAGTTATTTCTCAAAAAATTAATAAAGCGAAAATTAAAACTCCTGATTCTACTGAGTAACATATTTTCCGTCTTTAGTAGATAAAATCTATTAGAATAATACTAATTTTCTGTCTGCCCTGAAAATGTGCGCGCACCTTACTATCTAAACAAAAGGCGGATTTAAATATACTTTAGTAGAGATTTTATACAAAAACCATATTAAAAGCTTATCAAAGTTTCTAAAAAGGTCTAACGTTAGGCCCTAGAATAACATTATGTGTTTATTTATTGATAGTAAAAAGTACGGTAAAGTTTAGCTCTAACTAAGCTAAAGCAAAAAATATACACAAGTTACAGTGTTAAATTTATCTCTTTATCGATAATAGGCAGTACTTAATAAAGGTTTAACTAGCGTTAGGCCTAAGACAAGTGGACTTATAGATTTCGGTGTCTGCGATTAGAACTATGATTAGAAATAGATTTTTTTTTTGTATTTATAAACCTAAATAGTTATAGAAGTCAATATTATTTTAGATTGTTGCAGTTATCCTATGCAATACAGGGATCGCCCTTTTGGCATACATGGACGGAGTTACCGAGACCCCGACACTAGGGGGAGTTGTTCTGGCATCTGCTGCTGCAGCAGGTTCTGCTATTTATAAGGTGAGCGCTTTTACTGAATCCTGGTGTAAAATTAAAGAAAAAATTAACAAAAAAAAAAAGTTTCGGTTTTTTCACAGTGTTTAAAGTATTGATATTCGTTGACTATAACTTGCAAAATAATAATAACCAATGATACGTTGTTCTTTATTTTAAGGAAACATAACGACGGGACTGTTAAGTGATCAATTAAATTAACTTAAAAGCTACGAAGGTATTTCCAAAAGGAAGGGGGCATACAAAAGTAAAACGTTGTGAGATACTTATTTGAGCCCGGCACCGCCAGGTGGTTAGGCCGCTCGATTCGCAATCTGAGGGTCGTGGGTTCGAATCCCCGTTCCACCGAACATGCTCGCCCTTTCAGCCGTGGGGGCGTTACAATTTACAGCCAATCCCACTATCTGTTGGTAAAAAGAGTAGCCCAAGAGTTGGCGGTGTGTGGTGATGACTAGTTGCCTTCCCTCTAGCCTTACACTGCTAAATTACAGATAGCCCTCGTGTAACTTTGCGCGAAATTCAAAACAAACAAACAATACTTATTTGAAAACTTTGTGCAGGATAAAGGACCGAATAAAGATATTTTTTTTAAATAGAAAGTCAATGAAAAATTTTCGTTTCTATATACATCTCACGCTATACATACAGCTGAAGTAAAACGTAATTTTGTTATACTTACTCGAACAGTTTGTGGACGACCAAGGAATAATTTTTACATGTGTCGCCCCCTAGTGGCACAGTGGTAGGTTTGCGGACGTACAACGCTAAAAACCGGGTTTCGATACCTGTGGTGGGCAGAGTATAGATAGCCCATTGTGTATCTCTGTGCTTAATTACAACCAAATAACCAAAAATTTTCAAAATTTCATGTTTAATAGCGATATTAATGTACCACGTATGGTACGTGAAACCTTTGGAATTTGGTCTTCTAACTGTTAAATACTTCCAGAATTATGCGCTTGTTTTATGAGTAACAAAACCTTTTATTGATTTGTTGCAAATAATAAGAATGAACGATTCTCTATTTAACTTATGCACGACATAGAATAATAAATCCTTAAGTAGTTCTAGAATAATTATACAGGAAATTCTTTAAAGTAAGTGCAGAACTAAAAGTCCACTATTATTTGAAACCACGTAGTAGAGAAATCGATTTATGTTGTATGGACTGAAAAAGAACGGGAAAATGATAAATGATGACTGCACGATCCTGTTTTTAGACAGAAAAGCCACAAATATTCGTGTAGTAAATAAAATAAAATACGATTATTCTGGCACATCGATCGAACATTGCTGCCAAAAACGATTTGGCTGCATTATGTTATATATATATAACATATATATATATATATATATATATTTATGATATAAATATATATTATATATTTCCCATTTTATTAAACTAAAAATCGATAGAAAATTTTGTGCTTTCCTATTTTATTAAAATACGCCCCCCCCCAGTGGCACAGCGGTATGTCTGCGGACTTACAGCGCTAGAAACCGGGTTTCGATACCCGTGGTGTGCAGAGCACAGATAGCCCATTGTGTAGCTTTGTGTTTAACTTCAAACAAACAAAAAACTTTTATTAAACTAAAAACTCATAGAAAATTTTGTGTTTTCCCATTTTATTAAACTAAAAACCTATAGAAAAGTTTGTGTTTTCCCATTTTATTAAACTAAAAACCTCTAGAAAAGTTTGTACTTTCCCATTTTATTAAACTAGAAACCTATAGAAAATTTTTAAGTAAAACTTCACTCACAAGCTCATTATTAAACATGGATAATTATAACACCGTACTTGGTCTGGTTGACTTAACTTCATTATTAAACATGGAGAATTATAACACCGTACTTGGTCTGGTTGACTCACAACTTCATTATTAAACATGGAGAATTATAACACCGTACTTGGTCTGGTTGACTCGCTAGTTCATTATTAAACATGGACAAGTATAACACCGTACTTGGTCTGGTTGACTCACAAGTTCATTATTAAACATGGATAATTATAACACCGTACTTGGTCTGGTTGATTTAACTTCATTATTAAACATGGAGAATTATAACATCGTACTTGGTCTGGTTGACTCAGAAGTTCATTATTAAACATGGAGAATTATAACACCGTAAGTGGTCTGGTTGACTCGCTAGTTCATTATTAAACATGGAGAATTATAACACCGTACTTGGTCTGGTTGACTCAACCTCATTATTAAACATGGAGAATTATAACACCGTACTTGGTCTGGTTGACTCACTAGTTCAGTATCAAAACGAACTTAAAATATTCAACCAGACCAAGTACGGTGTTATAATTCTCCATGTTTAATAATGAACTTGTGAGTCAACCAGACCAAGTACGGTGTTATAATTCTCCATGTTTAATAATGAAGTTAAGTCAACCAGAACAAGTACGGTGTTATAATTTTCCATGTTTAATAATGAAGTTGTGAGTCAACCAGACCAAGTACAGCGTTATAATTCTCCATGTTTAACTAACGAACATGAAAATCTGTACTGAGAAGCTGTTTTATGTAAGATGAATATGATACGCCAAGCTATT